ACAGTGGGATGCATGCCAGGCAGCTGCTAAGCTGTCCCATGTGGCCCCAGCACCCATGTCACCTCCCTGGGACCACAGAGCAAGGGAAAGGGATGACTTCCAGAGCACTATCAGGGAGGACTTGTCAGGGTTGACCCCCAACTTGCTTGCCTGCCTATCTGCTTGAAACCCTTCCCCTTTCTTTGCTGACCAGCCCACAGAGGAAGATGGGGAGGAAGGCTTTTCCCTCCACCTTTCAATTCCTGAAACCGGTGGTTGCTCAGAGCAGCTGAAGGCTGAAGGCTGTGGCTGACACTCTGAACAGCAGCAATCCTTCAACCCTTTTGGGGTAAATGTCTTGGAGAGGAGTTTTACAACTTCAAACATGGAAGCACAAAGGATTTCCATGTGTTTAACCAGCCAGGGACCACAGGGCAACCACTCCATGGCATGAGCTGGCCAAGGAGCAGCCCCCAAACCCCCCCATCCTTACCAGCCATTGCAGCCTGGCAGGTCTGCTCCCACCTGGCTGTAGGCTCTCTGGCAGGCGGCCTTCCTGCATTGCACAGGCACCTGCCTGCAGAGTTGGGGGGGGGGAGGGGAGGAGGAGGAGGGAAATCACCCCACTGTTCTGAGCTCAGGGAACTCAGAACTATTGAAACCTCTCTGCCATGCCCCAGTGGTCTGAAAAACTGCACAGTGCAGAGCTGGGTCCCTGAGCCACCTCTTTGACCCTGACCACCTGCTGCAGGGCAGGGGGACCCTGGTGTATGGCTCTGCTTTAACCCATCTCACTCCACTGCTGCCCCTCCGGGTAACCCCAGCGGTACTGCTGCAGGTGGTCCCCAGGATGTGCTGGGGCTGGAACCCCCAGCCTGCAACCCCATGGCTTTTTCAATGGGTCTTGGCTCCTTCAGGACATTGATCAGGATGGAGAGTTCATGCTGCCCTGGCTGAACTCTGACTCCCTGCAAATGGATTAAAATAGAGCTCTGGGCTGGCTGTTGAGCAATAGTGGAGTTAGCTCCTTACACCCACAGCTGCCTGGTGCTTCCCCCATCGAAATCTTTGCCAGTGCTCCAAAGCGGTGTGTGTCATTTCCCGTCTCTTCTGCTGATTCGTCAGACCTGTGGGCTCCCCTCCTGCGCTGCTGGCATACAGGCAAAGGGCTGTAACCCTCTCACAGTGGTTACTCCTGCCCAAGCCACCCTGAGCCACTGTCGTCACAACTGTGTCAAACTACTGCTGAGCCAAAAAAAAAAAAAAAGGCTCTCCCTGCCCTTCAGCTATCAGCTCAGTCCCTGGGTTTGAAAATTAACATCTACTGATGTCCAAGGCTGCCTAAATCTGCTGGCAGCATCAGCACCTCCACGGCTGCTCACAGGGGTCCCCACATGTCCCCCAAGTCTGGCCTTCCATGCACATGAGCTTTGCAGCCCAAACCAGAGGGTGGGGGCAGCAGGCAGCACAGGACACAGGCATATTTGTGGGATGCACCAGCATGTCCCCAGCTCAGCCTAGACCAAGACCAATCCCTCCCTGGATCTGCTCTCTGAGCTGTCTGGAAAAGGCCTTCCACTGCCTTATTTTAAGCTGCAGATTTAACCTCTGTCCTTTCCCAGTCTCAAATGGGCAGGCTCCCCTGCGCCTTGTGGCCCACCCATGATACCACCTGCTGCACAAACCACTCCCATCCATCAGCTGGCACGTCCCAGTTCCAGGGGTTCCCAGGACCACTGGCTTTGGTATGAATGGAGCAGAGGACTGGTGCCTGGGAGCACTGGGATGCTCCTGCAGCACTGACCGTGCCCCTGCCACCCCTGGCACAGCTGTGCCCCTTTCTCAAATGCACATGCAGAGGAAGAGCTGTTTAGGCTGGGGGATGTATCACTGCCCACACACAGAGCAAACACATAGGTGGGATTCCCAACGCCCCTGTGAATACCAGCCCCAACTGGAAGAAATGATATTTCTCTTACAGCTCCAGCGGGTTTACAGAGCTCAGGGCTGACCTGAAGCTTTGCAGCAGCTCTGAATGATAGGATGATACGTGGAAGCAGTGGAAAAAAAGAGCAGCCAACTTGAGCGAAGTTTCCAAAGCAAGCCGTGCTGCGTGTGCTGCCTCTGGGGCAAGAGGTGCCAGAGTTCTCTCCTTGCAGCAGCTCCCAGTTGCAAAAATCTGTGTCAGCTCAGTGCCTGCACTGTCATGTCAGCAACATGATGAGCTCTTTTGCTATTTTTTCCTCCCTCACAGATGGAGACACAGCCGGCTGGGGCCAGGGGAAGCTGACTCGCACTGGCTGCTTGGCTCTGAGAACTGAATTCCATAGGCGTTAAAGCCTCCAAAAATGCCCTATGGATTCAGTTCTGCAGCTGGGCAGCAAATGAGCCTCAAACCTTCAGGAAGAGAATGCAACTCTGAGCTGTTCATGCAAGGAACGTGCAAATCTTTGCTCCCGCACGGAGACCAGAGTAGGGCTGGAGGTGAGTTATGACCCTGGGAAACCCTGCGTTCAGAGAGCAACTCGAGGCGGTGGCCATTTGTGACAGGCTTTCCCTCAAGGGAAAAAACAGCCTGACTATAAAATGTTTTCTTCCGTCTGGAAGTGAAATGGCACTTGAGAAAATAAATATGTTGCTGCCTCCTGATGTACTGTATGCAATTGTAAGCCTCTGCTAAAAATACACAGTCAGAACAACAGTCTGGGTGTGCCCAGCAATCTCCTGTTCAGAGTCTGGGCAGTGAGACCAAACAAAACTTCGGAGAAGATAAACAGGACAGATGAAGTTAAGGGCTGTATTCACTCTCTCACTGCAGGCCCCAGAGATGTTCCTAGCAGGAACAGGTATTTGGAGAAAGTTTTTGTGGAGACAATGGGCTCTCTTTCCACCCATCCACCACATACCTCTGGGAGACCTTGGCTGCACACCTTGAGTTTTGGGGAGATTTTCTACTATAACAGAGTGCAAATGTGCCACCAGGAATTTATTGGCCAGAGGAGTGGCATTTAGGATAAATTATTATGTAAGTCCTGGTAATTTGTGTAGCATCTGATCATCACCATAGGGCAAACCCCATGGTCGCCCTTACCTTGCCTAGAAGAGCTACTTTGCATCTGCTCCAGGATCTCACCTGAAGCAGCCCCTTCCCAACACACGCCCCATGGCTGGCAGCATCCAGTTACAACAGCCCAGCTGTGCCCTGCACCAGCCATAGGGGATTGGGAAGAACTTCCAGCAGCCCCTCAGAGCACTGCTCTGCCCACACAAGGATCCGATGTGTGAACTTCAAGTTCACTGCTTAAGCTACTGCCCATAGGAGCAGCTGCTGCTGGGAGGGCAGAGCACACTGCCAGTGCTGCAAGGCTGCGGCAGACACGGACAGTGGGCACCTAACTGCACATCTCTACCTGGGAAGGATCCCCTGCTTAGCCAAGGAAGAGAAAAAAAAAAAAAAACCAACACCCAGGAATTGCTGCATTTTTCCTGTACTGGGTGACCAAAGGCATATCTAATTAGCCACGAGTCATTAGCAGAAGCCTTTTCTGGCCCATTCAGTAAGTCCCATGGCCACCACTCGTAACACAGCCCAGAAGCATCAGCTTGGTCTGAGGTTTCTGCAGCAGCTCTTCTGCTTCAGCCCTCTTGCAGCTTTATTTGGCAGCAGAGTTAACCCATTTCCAAGCAGCTGACTAGGGAAGGGGAAATCCAAGTAGTTGCTGAGACATTCTGGCAATTGCTTAAATTAGCAAAAATTATTGCATTATATATAAAATAAAATCCACTGATACTGACTTTATAGCAATTTAGAGCCATCAAGGGCCTCCAAGTTCACCCTCCCAGGCTCTCTCCTTTGCTATATGCAGGTGAGGAACACCCAGTTCCCTCCTACATTAGAATGCCTTTCTCCCACATGGCATGTCAGAGGGAGGCTACAGGGGGACAGAGGAGGTCCCTCCCTTCATGGAGGAGTGGGGGCAGGGGTGTCCCTGCTGGCCCCCAAAGAAGCAGCTGTCAGGAAACAAGCTGGGGCAAGGCAGGGTACTGCCAAGCAGAATAACCCACCACATCTGGGCAAAAGCCATGTCAGCAGTCATCCCTAACTTTGCAAAAGGTTGTCAGGTTGCAAGTTGTTCACAGGAGAGACTACTGTCAGGCAGCTAAAAAACCAGAAATATAAGCATTTGCATTTGAGGGGTTTTTATTGTTTATTTATAATCATTTAAAAGGTACACAATTTTGCAAGCAAGTCAGACCCAGCCCCTCACAACCCTCCAGGTTTCCAGCACAACTCTGAAGTCCACTCTTCCAAAGAGACCAAGCTGTGGAAGTGCTGTGGTCCACCCAACTCCAATAACCTTGCTGGAAAGCCAGCACCTCTAACCAAGAGATGAGTCAGATCCAGAGCATGGCCTCAAGCAGCAATTTCAACAAGGGCACGTGACCAGGAGAACTGAGCACCAGATTACCAAGTGTAAGAGGATAGGGACACCATGATCTTCTGCCAGTGCATAGGGAAGTGCTGCATACAGGCCTCACACAGTGATTAAGCACAGTCATATGGTCATAAACAGCAGTGACAAGATATGCAGACAATTGCTCTTCACAGTGCTCAAGAACCCCTCCCTCCTCTGGGACCTGCACTGCTCCCAGCCTGGAGGAAATCCCACTTTGATCTCCTTAACTGAGTGCCAGGAAGGGAGCCAGCTTCAAGGACCTTCCCTTGGACAGGGTAGGAAGAAACCCATCTTCTAATCAAGGGCTGTTGTCTGGAAATCCCCCCACCACACCATGACTACTCAACCAAAACAGTGGAAATCAAATGTTCATTTCAAAACCAGGAACAAACTGCTGATCTGACAGACAGTCAAGTGCCACATGTTTACTTCATAGGATGGGCATTGTGCATCAAACAGGATAAAGCTGCTGTAAGCTTGTGGAAGATGGGGAGCAGTTAGAAGTCAATGGAAGTGGTGGCATCCATTACTTGTGCTACTTGCTGGCTGCACTGAGAACATCTGCCAACTGGCTCCCAGGAGGGCTCTGGAGCATCTGTCCGTCAGGTAACTGACTACATCAATGTCTGAGTTTCTTTTTCTTCTTACGGTTCCGATCCTCACTGCTGTCATCTGCCTCACTGGCACTGGGGGTCACAGCCCGCTGGATGACTTTTTTTTCCACTGCATATTCTTGCTCTCCTACCTTGGGGTCTCCTTTGATCAAGAACTCCCCTTTCCGGTAGGTTATGGAGACGCTGGTCCGTGGGTAGGTGCCATAAACCCTCCGGAGATCATCCTTCACAAATTCTGGAAGGTCTTTCCTTGGTCCAAACACCTTTCCAAGCTTCCCCCATTGAAGCTCCCCTCTCATTGTGAAGCCTTCTGGCCACGTGTCTCGATACTGATCTGACCTCTGGTAGGTAGCATAGGGATTGTAGAGAGGGACAGGGACCATGGGAGGGAAGTGCCAGGTGTAGTATGGATGGAAGTAGGGATTAGAGGCACTGTAGAGATGATGATACTCCACCTGACTTCCCACATAATCAGGGTAGCTGTTCCGGTCCACCACAAAGGTGATGGGTCGAGTGTAGAAGTTGTGCATGTGGATGGGAGGGAACATCACAGAGCTGGTCATGTCTTCTGCTCTCCCAGTCCGCAGTGGTCGGTAGGTGTATGCAGAAGGTGGGATCATGGTTGGGTAATACTCCTGCGGCACAAAGGCAGACTGGTACATGGCAAAGGAGCTGGTGTTTTTTCTATTTGGTTTGGTTTTTGGTTTGTTTGGGATTTGTTGTTTGGTTGTTGTTGGTTTTTTTTCTTCACACAAGGGACATTTTTCCAGAGCAGCTGATGAGTCTCAATCTGTGAGGACAGGAGGGGACAAGAAACAATTTACATTGGTTATATAAATTCCAGAACCAAGCTGAATAAGGAGATACACCTAGTACTGTAAGCATACCAACTAATTAATAAAAGGAGCTCCTTGCATCTGCAGCTTGCAGGGGCAGTAACATGGCAAGAACAAGCAGAACCACATTGCCAGTGACTGCCTGTTGGCTGCTCATCAAGACTCCTCATTTAACCCACCCAGATCTCGGTGTTACAAAGATGAGAACAAGCTGGTATAAAAAACACTAAGGACAGAGAGGGCCTCATATCCTCATGACATGGCTCTGCACTGGTGGGAAGCAGTGAAGCAGACAGCAAGAAGCTAGAGACCCTTGAGCAGGCATAAAAATGGGGAAGGCAAGCACTAGTGAAAGAAGACCAAAAATAAAGAAAGCAGGCAAAGAGAGGAAAGAGGATACAGCCCAGCCCTACTGCAATCATTTCAGCTGCCATCCTGCCCAGACAAGTATATCTTAAACAAAAATCTTCAACTGTCCTTGACTCCTTCCACATCCTCCCAAAGCCCTGCTTCTGCTCTGATAAGCAAACAAGAGCTGTTGCCTGTTGTTTCTAGAGCAAAAATCCGTGCACATCTACATGTCCTCTGACAATTTCTCATGTAAAACCATCTCGTTTTGGTCTCGCTAGTTATCACTCATGTGTGCATTTACCTTGAGCAACTCTGATCCACGGCTGAATTTGTTCTTAGCTTTCCCTCACCAGACAATCCAAGCATCCTCCAGGGCATTAAGCAATGTCCTCCTATGACTCAGTATCCTCTCCCCAAGGGCAGGAAGGGAAGCTGTACAGAGCATGAGGCTTTTTTAAAAAAAAGTTTGCTACTAGAGACAGGAAAAGACCATGCACAGAACTACAGGCAACAAGGTTTTTTTCTTCCACAGATCCGGTAAACTTTTTGCCTCAGCCTTAACTACAGAGCCTCTCACACAGGTGCTGACTGAGTAACATAAAACTCACACCTCAGGTCAGCGCTTTTCTCTAGCCTAACAGGAAAACCAGCAGTCCCTTAAGAACCTGCCTACCACAAGCAGTGCTGGGTACTACACAATGGTGGGTTTGCCCTTTTTTTTTTTCCCCAACCAGCACAAGTTGTTCCTGTCCCTTGAGGTTCATTACCTGCACTAGCTCAAGCCTGCTTTTGCTATGGGTGCAGAGCTAGAAGTCTACCCCTACACAGGGAAATACACTAGAGCATTTTGACAAGATCGGGCAGTACCCTTAAACAAGACTTGCAGACTGGGAGCCAAAGCCCATCATAACTATCACACCCTCAGATAGGAGAAAATAAAAAGTTCACAACCTACTTCATTTAAAGCCATTACAAAAAAGAGGCTCAAATAGCTTCATGCAAAATAAAGCAAGCAAGCTTGAATAGGTTTGACCGAGGTCTCCCCAGCTCACTAGCAGGTGTTGGGAGGAGGGGAGCAGGCACCATGATGTTTCCTGTGTTTAGCCCAGCTTACAACAGAGCATAGCTCAGGCACTCAGCAGGCAGGGACAGGCCTCTCTGTGCTTGAGGGCTCCTAAAAATCTCCCTGAGTTTCTCAGACCACTCTGAAAACATTTAGAGCTGAACCTCCTGCAGCAAGAAGCTCCACTGCACCCTGTTTGAGCACACTTAATCTCCTTTCAATAAACATCTAACGATTAGCTAGCTTCCAAACACATTACCCAACTAATTTAGAACCACCTTGTGTATCAATGGCAGCAAGAGATGGGTAAATGGAATAAATGGTCTCTTCTTAAAAACCTGTCTCGGTGCGTCTTTTAATCCCTACTGAGAGTCACAGAAACATTTCCATGGATCCATCATCTGCACAGAGACTGCATAGCTATTGCATCCATTGAGCAAAAGAAAGCAAGTCCAGCTTACCCCTCCTGCTGAATCACAGTGTGTTGCTTCATGCCAGTTTAGGACAGCCCTGGGGATTCTGTTATCTGTCAGTTGATGACCAACTCAAAAAAACCCTACAAGTGTTGTTCCATCTACCATCCACTGCAGCACTCTACATTTTTTTGGCTGTCAGCATCAGTGCTCCTGGGCCTTCCCAGCAGCTAGGAGGGAAGGAGGTAACACATTAAAACACTGAGGTTTTAGCACCAAGGTGGCCCAAGAACAGCTATTTCACATTGGAAAGGAAAATAAGCTGGTAGCTCTGCCAGGCAGCATGGCCTATAAGAGGAAGCAAACTCAAGAGCTAAGAGGGGGAATGAGATGAGGATTAAGCAGGGCTGGGAGCACTCCAGGGCAGCACTGTCATATGCCCAACCACAGAAGTCAAGACATTTCCCTGGAAGCAGATCACACAGAGAGGAAGATGTTGAAAGCAAACAGTGTAGACAATACTTCACAGCCCCAGAGGAAGTTTGCAGACCTGTCACAGCAAGCCTTGGCTGGGTGGCTGGGGCTCTGGCTGCCTTTGCCTTTTGGGGGCTCTACTGCAGAGCTGCCTGGTGCTGCCCTGTCCCTGCCTGCTCCCCAGCACAGAACTCTCACCCTGTGCCCAAGCACTAGAGCTCTCAGGATTGCCCCAACACACACCTTCACAAGCACAAGGGCCTGAATCCTAGCTCCTGGCTTGCAGGGCATGGCACCGCTCTGAATCATTAGGTGTGCCGCAACAAGGTTTTGGTATGCAGGAAACACAGGGCTCCTGCCCTGCCCCTGCAGAACTGCAGCCTTGTGCTCCCAGGGGCTGCCATTATTTACCCTGCCATTACACCAGTGCCTGTTGTGCATATTGACCTTCAGGCTTCTTCAGCTTCCAAAGGCAGGGGAGACCACAGTTGGAGCAAAGGACTCTGCCGAGCTGAGCTAGGATGTGACAAATCCACATGTATGGGAGGAGAGAGGGCTTTGAGAGAGCCAGTGGTTATCTTGCCTGACCCTGTTCCACACTCATAAAAAGCCAGAGCTGGTAGTGCTTTAGGCAAAACAGGGTTTGCCAGGAAGGTGATCTTTTGTTAGACCCTCTGATGACCAGAAGACTTCAAAAGCCAGACGCTTAAAAAACCACAGCCCCCAAACACCAACATTAGCTAGTGGTACTCCTTGTGAAAAGGGTCCAACCCCCATTCAGTCTCTTCTCCCCTTCACCTGCTCCTACTTCCTGTGTTTCTCCAGCGCCAGCAGGCAGAGGCTGCCCTCGCTTTGGAAGTAAATATCCAATAGCCTCCAGCTCTCTCCTTTGCTTTTCAGGAGCTGAAGGCTGTTGGATGTAGGACCAGAAAGGGAAAAGGGATCCTGGCTGACCTGTTCCTTCAGGCTACCATCCATCTACTTTCTTCCCTTGCTCTAATTTCACACTCTCCTATGCCTGAAGGTCTGGAGCAGGAAGGTGTAGAACATTCCTTAAAGCCCAAGCCAAACTCTGCTCAATGCCTCCTTGGTCCTGAGAGCAACTGACAACCATCAGTACACACCAGCTCCTTGGTGGTAGAGATGGAGAGGTTGGACAGACAGGCACCAGGCTATGCCTGGAAGGCAAGCCTCCCCAGATAGGGCACTGGGAGCTATGATTGCCAGCAGGGAGCAACAAGGGACCAACCCAGTAAGAAAGGCCACAGCAAGAAAGCAAAAGATAAAATAGCCTCCTCCTTCAAGCCTTTCCATCGGTTTTGGCCTTGCTGGAAAAGGATTCAGCCCCACTTGGCTGGAGCTGAATGAGAAGCCAGGCACAAAAAAGAAAAAAAAAAAAAGGAAAAAGGAGAGAAAGCTCTCAAGAAGGTCACAGCCAGCTGAAATGAGATCGTCATCTTTGCTTGGTGAGAACACGATACTTCAGACTCTTCCTAGGTTTGCCAAAGCTGACTCCAATTCCCTCTCCCACCAGCCAGCCATCTGGCAGGGCCGCTCTCTCCTCACATATCTTAGTGCAGGTTGAAGAGACTGACACCACAGCTCCCCCAATACTTGATCTGCCGAGAAAAGCGTGCTTCAGTGCCAGCCGACCCAGACAGAGTTGCTATGGAGCAATCAAGCAATGTTTGCAACACAAAACCAGGGAGTACACTTGATAGCTCAAGTACAGGGAAGATTTTGTTTCACCACTCTATTATGCAGTTACTACAGGTAATTAATCCATCTCTCGTTAATACAGAAATGCACAAAGCTGGTAGGACTTTCCTAGTATCTAAAGCAGCAGAAATTACTTCCTAGCATTACAGAAGAGCAGAGTTTTGCTTGACATGTCTCAGGGCAGTAGAGCCTTACTGTCACCCAAGCTAGTTTTGAATGTGGGGAGCTGTTTAGGTAGTCATGGATCACAAACAACACTGCAAGCTGCAGAAAGTGGAGGAAAATAAATACATTCTCTAGGAGAGAGAGATTAAAGTGAGCCTGACTGTAGCATGGGCACAGAACAACAAACCAGGTGTGCCACAGTATCCAACATGTGAAAATTCATACAAATATCTCATGTCTGGAGAGACTGGTTTCACCTAGACCAGAGAGTTCAGAGAGTATCACCAAGTCTTCTGTCCACCTGAAGCAGCAACCAAAGTTAGCTGGATCCTCAGATCAGGCTGGCAGTTTGAAACAGGTTTAGATGCTTCCTCAGGAAGCATACTGAAAGCCAACACAACTGTAGAGACACTTGGCCCACAGAAGAGGCCACGTAATTAAGTCTTTACCAAGACTATTTTTGCCTCATGGCATTGCCCTATCATCTCCCAAAAAGAACAGGGAGATCCCATTAAGTTACTGTTTCTTCTCCACTGTTCCAACACCCAAACTTTAAGACTCTTCTCTCTTTCTTCGTGCCCTGTTCTTCTCCCCACACCACAAAACCCACAGATCTGTTGCCACTGCTTTGTAGCAACTCTCAAGGGTACAGGGATGAATACTGCAAAAGCAACATTTTCCCCTAACCAAGGGGATGAAGAACTCCTAAGTTATTTCCAGTTAGTCTCCCCATTTTGGGAAGAATCTGCAAAATTGTTGCCATCTAACAA